GTGGGGGGCACGCAGCCGGGAATCCGGGGTGGCGGCAGGGGGGGGGGGGGGGGGGGGGGGGGGGTACTCTTATGTTTTGCATGTCTTAGCGGTTAGACCATTGACCACGCGTCCTCGAGAGGACGGAGCATTGTTCCCACAGGACCGATCACCGATGGCCAATCGTTCCTTCCGGCGGGCTTGTTGTTGCGTGTCTTCCGACACAATATTTAAGCAAAACAAAACACGCTCCGCTCTGACTGATCGTCGTTCCGTACCCTACCGAGCAGAATCATTGCGCAGATGGAGCAACTTTCACGATTTCACCACTACTTTGGGGGGGTTCTGGTTTTCATACATTGCCGGCGGGACAAAGCACATGGTGTTTTAACAGACCACGCCTAAAAAAGGATTGCACCGAAGCGCAAATCGCGTTGGGGGTGTTCAGAAAATCGAGGAAAGGATAATTCAGAGAATCGCATGAAGGATGGATACCCCTGTAGGAACATAAAATGCTTCGAACAACTATGGGGAGAGGGGGGGAAGGGTTCAACAACGTTAAATAAAATAAACCTGGTACTGTACCGCAGAGCGCCACCTCCCTTTGGTACCGACTGCCCAGGATACCGTGCCATCCTACATTGGGCGCATACGTAGTATGTTGGCACTACTCTACTGGAAGTGTGTACTGCAGCAAGGTATTTTGTAAAATCCAGCATCAAATGACAGGCTTGTACGCGAAACAGCCGCTACCGCTGGGGTGTGTCCCAATAGTCATCTCCTCCGCGTGAGAAAACACGGGGTTGAATACACATCCATCCTCGAAATACAAAAAAAAAGCCTGATCCTGATCCTGATCCTGATCCAACTGCGAAACCCACCCCGCACAAATGGGAGACCCCGTCGGCGTCTCTGAAGCCATCGATCCAGCGGCCGCTGGCCCTGTCCAGGGCCTCCTGCAAGGGGAGAACCGCGGCCGGCGGGGGAAAGTCCTCCGCCCAGATCGCCACCTCCTCGGCGGACTCCTGTGGGCTCCGGACCTTTGGTGGTGGTGGTGGTGTTGGTTGTTGTGGTGTTGTTATTGTATCATCGTCGATGTTGTCCGTCGTCGTTGTCGTTGTCGTTGTCGTTGTCGTTGTCGTTGTTGTTGTCATCGTCGATGTTGCCAGTGTTGTCGTTGCGCAAAGCGTGCGGGGGGTGGCGACGTTGAGTTCGACGTGGCCATCGTGCAGCAGGCGGTCGATGGTTGTGTATGACGTCGGTTCGTTGATTTGTTTTTTTTGTCGTCATCGACGTCGTCCGCCGTCGCCATCACCGGTGTCCCGCGCAACAAAAAACGAAGACACGGAGCCCGGAAAGCCCAAAAGTCAAACAAAAAGAACGAGCAGGAGCGGGAGGACGGGGCGGGACGAGATGAGTGTTCATCGTTATAGATGTCGGCCGGTCTCGGCTCGCGGCTGGGCAATAGACCCAAGCCCGACCACGCCAGCAGCGGGGCAGGAAGGCTAACCCTAACATGCACCTGAATGGTTTCAGGCGCCGCTGCAGAACGACTCTCCCTCTCGTGCGAGCTGAGTAAGAAAAACAAAATCATGAGCCGCCGTGCCGTGGGAGAGTAGTGGAGCTGTCTCGCTGTACTGACGTAAGCGCTTCTGACGGTGAGCTCACCACACATGCTCCAAGGAGCCTTCACATAGATGCAGTCCATAACTCCCAGGTCTACCCAACCGCCACTTAAAAAGCTATCGGTGGAAAATTCTCCCCCCACGTGGCTGACAAAAAAGTGCCATTCACTCACGGAGCCTCTACTCAGACCCCCCCCCCCCCCCCCCTCCCCCGCACTGCCCAGCGCCGCAACAACCATCTGCCCACCTACCTTCATCCCGCCGTCCGCCGCCTTCCCGTCCCCCGCAATGGCGTGCGCCCGTCGCTTTGAGGCTTCATCCCCGTACTGAAGGATGAGGTCGCGCTTGTCGTCAAGGGGTATCTGCCGGATTATGTGGCGGAAGTCTCGGTCGAGCACGCTGCTGCTACCGCCACCACCCTGCGAGATGAAGGGTATAGCGAGGGCGTGGGGGGTGCCGAGTTTTGGAGTTGTCTATGGGAACATGTCACATGCGTAGGAGATAATGGTTTCAACCGGAGCAAGGTGTGGGGTGTTTGAGAACCTCCTCCCCATTCCGCCCCCCCCCCCCCCAAACGGTCCTGTGGAAGAAACGATTGGCCATCGGTGATCGGCCCTGTGGGAACAATG